ACAGTCTGAAAAATAGCAACTGCTCTTGTGCTTGGATGTCCTGTTAGATATCATAAAATCTTTCTTTCCCTGGAGAGTTAATCCCTGAATTAGAAGTACCCAAATGGGAAGTGTTAGCTAAATTTAGTCTCAGCTAAGTTATTAAAGTCTACCTGGGTCTTCTGGAGTGTGTTACTGGGCAGAGAATGCTGCCATAGCGAGACACCTGGAAGACTAGAGCACAAGTCGCTGTGCATATGCCCTTGTCTGAAGGTGGCAGCTGAAAAAGGCAGAAAATAGGATTAGTTGCAGTCTTTCCTTTCCTTTGCATGGTACAACACATGTCTTGAAGGAACTTGCAGAATCTTAATGTATGGCTTGGAACTCCTTCTTGCTATAGACTCACCCTCAAAGGTATTTGAGCTTTGTAGTAGAACTTTTATTTCTCAGTATTTAGATGGCTGTGATTCCTCTTTAAAGTGTTTTCTTCTGGTTAAAGCAGTTGCAGCTTTGACTCTGTATTGGCACAGATGTGCTCACCTTTCTCATCTTGTTTTTGTATTTAAAGTGTTCAGTACCTCTTGGTGCTGACTGCAAGTCCCACAATCAAAAGATCTTTTTTCTGTATGGAATCCTTATTATTTGACTGCTTTTCCATATCTGTCTTCCTAATTTCTAAACATGTGCAATAGTAGAGGTCTTTCTGTTCATGGATATTGTGTGTTCCCAACACCAATTATTTTGGTGGGTATTTTACCTTCTTATCTAGGGTGGGAATAAAAAGGAGAGCTTTCTATTAATTTCCATATGCTTGGGCCATCTTTTTGATTCCTTATCCTTTTAATGTTTTCTGTAAATGTGATTAGGCCATTCAATTGTTTTGGTTCACTTGAGGTCTCTGTGGGATTAATTTGAGCAAATCTTCTATATGCCTATGCAAGCAAGAGGCAATTTAGGCCTTGTGGGTCACATTTTTATCTAGGTGTGTTTAAAAGGAGGAGGAGCACTCTTAAAAAAAGTTTTTTATTAGCAAGCTTTGTGCATTTTTAAACTATTGAATAATACTTATATGCATATGCTATAAGCAGTCTTGACACCTAAAGATAAAAAACACTGTATAAGAGTGTAGCACTACTATTGTAATAACTTTTTCTATGAAGCCAAGTATTATTTTGGTTTATGATACTTAATTTTAGTTCACAAGAAATTGAGTTTTTCCTACCTTTAATACATTCTTTTGCCAAGCCAGTGAATAGGGGTGACTTAAACTCCATCCTCTAGTGTTCTTTTCCTTTAATTTTTTCCTGCTTTTTGACTGAGGTTATAATTGTCTTCAGCTCAAAATCCTTAATTCTTTTTTTACTCTATAATATTCTGTAAGTGCCAGAAGAAATACAGTGCAAAGCTGTTTTCTTACTTATGTATTTTGTTTCAGGGAAAATTCAGTCTGCAAGAGAACAAATATGCTTCCTGGAAGAATCAGTACCTTTGTGATATACTCACTGTATTCTCTTTTGAGCTTTGTCTTGCTTGGGATGGAACACTCCAATTTCTTAAATGGATTTGTTTTTTTAACAAAAAGAACCCCCAAAACCAAAAAATAGCTAACATGACTGTGCTTATGTATGTTTTAGAAGAAATGGACTGAACACACACTGCCACACACACTGAGTTGCTATTGTGTAGGATGTTTCCTTCAGAGTGCTGCAATTAATCCTGCTGAACTGAAAAATTAGCTTACCAAGTGCATGCTAATAATGAACAGAAAAACAAATAGCTTTATTGCTAGGCTTTACCGGTGCAGTGAACAAAATCAGCTACAACTGCTGCAGTTTTTAATACTTATTTAAAGTAAGTATGCAGAAACTTCTTAGAGTCTTTTTTTTTCATGCAAAGGTCTTGAGTCATAACCTGAAAACTAGTCACTAGTCATGGGCTGCCTGTACGAGAAGCCAGCCCCAGAAAATATGCCTAAGAATATCAGGTGGGAGTCCTTGCTTCTGTGAGGAATAACCCTGGAGTGGAAGACTGCTAGGGAAGCAAAACAGCTCCTGTTAGCCACCTGAGTGTATTTTGTGTTTGAGAGCGGAGAATGTCCTGGACTCACAGCCTTTTTTGTATTCAACACTCATCTGGCCAACACCATCACTCACTATGAACAGCTCTTCTCCCTCACTTTTGGCAAAAATTGCTCAATTAAGTCAAAAAGAAAAGTGCAGAGAGCCTCACACACACAGGGAAGATTTCCCCCTAGGCTCTTAGCTCCTGCACAGCACCACTGCCCAGGGCATCCTATACTTCAGGAAAAATACACAATATCTTGGCTACTGCTGGGCTTGGAGCCATCTCCACCTTTTTTTAGCATAATGTTGCTGAGGAGTTCACAGTACAGCAGAGTGTTCTGAAATGTAGGATGGAAAATTGCACTTCTTGTCACATATTTTGGTTTTCTCTGGATGTGTGACCAGCTGGTTGCTTTTGATATGGATTTAGAGGAGTCCTGTTGAAAGGTTTAGCTGAGTCTAAGCATTCACAGCTATGTAATCATGGAGGTGGCTGAGGAATCAAGCTCCACAGGTACAGAGTTCTTTTTTGTTCTGGTTTTGTAGCTTTTGTCCATCTTCAAAATCAAAAATCTGTAAATGCAGCAACCAACACAAGTTTCTGGTTTACTGTCAGAAAACCTCTTGGTGTCAAGTGGACCTCAACTGATTGAGCTGTGGTGAAGTCTGGTACTAGTTTGCCATTCCAAACTCTCAGTTTTAGCTCTACTCACTTTCAGCCAGCTTTAATAAATTTGCCCAAACTCTGCCTTCTGAGAATTGCCTATGTTACTGTACTGCAACCCTGTGCTGCCCAGCAAACACATTTCCTAAGCTGTGGGAATTATGGCATTTGGGACTGGAAATTTCAAACTGAACAAACTGCTTGTGCTTGAGCAGCAAAGCTTAAATTCAAACCACTTTTGAAGTCCTTTCTCCAACTGCTTGGTGCCTTCTCAAGTTGTCCACATGGAGTAGAGTGGGTTCCTGCAGAGGTATGGTTCTAAACCCAGAGATCTAGTCTACAGCCATACTGAGGGCTTGCTGTAGTGACATTAAAGTAGATTCTGTATTAAATCACTAAAGCTGACATTCAAACATCTGCTATTGCTAAGTAAATATCATTAATGAATAAGTAGTTCCTCAAAGACTTGTCAGTGCTTATTCTTTGTACTTTTATCGAACTTCTGTATATTTTTTTTTCCGTTCTTTCCTCCTATGAGAGGAAAATGTCTTCCTTCCCAGAACTGTGGGTAAGAGAAAAGCTCTGAGGAATCACATTAATAACCTTGCTCCCTGCATTGAATGGACAAGAACTTCTCTGTGGTCCACAGTTTTCCCAAGATAATTTTCTGTTTGTTTTCCATAGTACTATCTGGTGAATAAACATAACTGTTCCCCACTTCCCATCCCTCACAGCTCGCTGTAGGTGACCAGTCAGCCAGTTGGTGCCAGATTAATGACAGAAAACAGATTTTATTGTCCAAGTCATCTGTGAATGATGGGACTCTCTGTTAATTCCCATGAAAGCTAACTAATCTTCCAATTGAAATACTGCTTTTACAATCCAGGCTGTCATGGGGAGCAGATTTTCTTTTTTTTTTTAAGGAGCAAAATAAGCCACACACAGAATCCTTTTATTGATGGGGGGAAGGAGGGGGAAGGGGAGCTTCACCTCTTTTCTAGAATTCTATTCCACTGAGGCCACTTATATTCCATTGGAAATGTAAAAGCCCCAGGTCAGCCTTTGCATGGTCATGTGGAAGTCTCTGCTTTCTCCTTGTCATCTTCAGCAACAACAAATTTAAAACTTAAAGAGGTGGTATGTTTCTTTAGTGAGAGACTGTGCAAAACTTACCCAAATGTTGGACTCAAAGTTGGAATTGTTATATCCTTGGCAAAAAGTACTACAAAATAATCTGTAAAAATTTCTAAAAAATTACCAAACTGTCAATCCAGTGACCTGCTACTATTTATCTTCATATCATGTATTAATTTTGTGGGATGAAATTATAGATAATTATGTATATAAAAATATACCTTTTGGAATATTACCCTGTTTCAAGAGTGAATGTTTGAAAGAAAGAAAACGCTGGTGCACTATTAATGCAACTCAGACTTATGGGAAACACTATTTGTTTATATCCCTTTTTTTTCTATATTGTCATATTTGGGCATTTTCTTTTAATTTAAGGCAAAGCAAAATCATAGTTTCCAACAGGTGTGCGAGGGTATCTCAGGAAAACTGGTGGAATTGTTAGCCTTTTTTTTTTTTAAAGCATTTTTTTGAGAAGCAAAAACCTTTTAGCAGTGACAGTGGAGTTTATTTGTCTTCCATGAGAACGGTTCTAGCCACAAGGCTATAATGGAGTCCAGCTGTTTTCTCTGAATCCATCCATCAGCAGCACAAGAAGGTGAAGAAGGCAAATGGTGACTGCCTGAGAGGAGAAAGAGGGCAGCAGGGTGAGGGATGACTGCTTGCCATGGAGGAGCAGGAGCAGGAGCAGGGAAATACGGCTCCCAGAGATGAGCAAGGTCAAGCTCAGCTGAAGGCTCAGGTACTACAAAAGATATCAGCAGAATACAAAGGGTTCTTCTAACAAGCAAAATCAGTTAATCAGATTAATATGTGAGATAAGCTCACTTTCTATATAATAACCTCAAAGCACATTATTGATAAATTTTTAATTAATCTATTATTAATGACTGAAGAGTTTGTAGAACACTTACATATTTAACAAGTTACAGATAATTAGCTCATAGAGATATACATATATAGATAATTAGATAGTAATAATTTAAATATAACTATAATTTAGGAAGACTGCTTATTGTCATATAACTTTTTAAGTTATTATTTTAACTGTCAATGTAATTAATTTATATTTCTCAACACTTCACTGTATATTTTTTATTAAAATAACAATAGGGGAAATTAATCTATAAACAAATGAAATACAATTATCCTTTTATCTTTAGGTTACAACTTGCTGATCCAAACCCAACTCAGTTGTGGCTACAATTTGTTGCTGCAAGACAATACTGGCAGAAGAACAAATGGATCCCATGAATAAATTCAGGCTGATAATTAGAAAACAGTTTTTAGCCATCTGGAAAAGAAGGCAGCCTGCAGAAGGTTGTGGAACAGCCTTCAGAAGAATATTGGAATGGAATGGTTGAATTTTTTTGAAGATGAAGTTTGACAATCTTCTGCATTAAATTGTTCAGGACAATCATCTGCAACGATGGGGGTGGGGGCAGAAAAACAAAAGTTTGTGCTGTGGTGTTCATTGCTTTGTGCAATAGGAAGGAACGAGATGCTGTTCTATAAGGATGAACATCTGTGTTATGGAGTGCAGATGATGAATGTGGAGGCCAGGAGCAGGATGGACATGGATCACTTCCCCCCACTAAGCAGAGGTGAGCAGCTGCCCATCCCAGGCCTGCTTTGCTGCAGTTGCAAGGAATTTCTACTGACATCAGTGACACAAGAACACATAAGCAAGAAGTGGCTTCTAAGAGTGCCTAAATTTAAAGCCATATTTGAGAGTCCTTTCTAAAGCTTATACTGGAACTGCTAGATGAAAATGGAAATTGGATTAACAGAGTTAACAGGAGTCTCTTTAGTCTCTCCTTCCACGGAGGAAGGCTATATTTCCCAAAATGAGGTCTGGTAGACTGAGGGGCTGTACTCAGTTGAGTGAAGTTGCAATGGTTGGCATTTGCTATTCTGCCTCAAAATGCACTTGTTGCTTATTGGTTCTACTGCATGATTCCTCCCTCAAAATGGATTTCAAAACAGGCAAGTTCATGGCAACTCAATCCACTGACAGCTGCTGTTCATTGCCCTGAATAAAACTTTTGGCTCAGGAACACTTAAGCTGCTGATTAGGAAACGTTAGAGGACAGGCAAGGCATGAGTATGCTCACTAGCCATGCACTGTACTGTCTCTAACGATTCACTACTGCCACTTACCAGAACTGGGGCTCTGAAATTGGCAGTCTACAAGTCCCACTCACTATGAAGCCCCTATGTTCGCTCCCGCTCCTCAAACAGATTTTTCCCTCTGAGATTTTTGTTCCAAAAGAAATAGATTTGGAAAGTCAGTGTATCAATTTATGTTTTCAAAACCATAGTTTGTATTACCAAGAGCCATAAAGGAATATAGATGATTATTCATCTTCCTCAGGAGCTTTTGCAGGAAACTTCCCAAGAAAAGAAATCCAATGGAAAAATCTATTAATATTTTTTTGTTGTTTTTACAATTCATTTGTTCCATGGAATATACTGAGTTACTAAGAGTTTATGATGTGAACTTTTCTTGTAATTTTGCCATATAAAATGGAGCAGTCCACCATAATCTTAGTTATGCTAGTTCAACTAGGTAATAAACTCTCGCTGATTTTAGCAGCATCAGCATATTGTAAATCTGAATCCTTTATTTACCTAACAATCTTGATTGTTGACTGTCATTAGATCACTAAGTATACTTAAAATATTGTGGTTAGTACAATTTCTATGATATTTTTAATAATAGTGAAATGCTACTGAATCAACTACTCTCTTGAATTCCTGCATACCACAGACTATTACTTTTAACTAGAACTTCAAAAAGCTTGTTGTAGGTCAGAATGTTTTTGTTCCTTCTTCTCTTCCTGACTGCTTGAAGCTCCTCAGGTGATAGAAAATAGTGTAATATTTGTTCACACCCTTAAACCATTATTTGCTTCTGCTTTCAGCTACTTTCTAGAACTATTTCCTAAATATATATTGCCTTTCCAAGCAAAGAAAGATATTTAAACTGATTTGCTCATTTGAAGGGGATGCTTTTTTTGTAAAGAAAGCTCTTTCCGTGGAGAACTGCAATGCAGGACTAAATGTTTTTCTTTACAGCAGCATAAACTTGGAGGGGCAAATCCTGAGAGCAGTCATTTGTTTTCTCTGGGTTAATGGCTTTCAGCTGGATGTTTGTCTGCTGAATAATGACTGTACTGCTACATCAACCAGCCTCTTCCACTACAAAACATGTGTTCGGTTAATGGCATTGACATATTGGAGGCTGGAATGAGCCTCCCCACTTGAGTTGTTCAAACATGATACATCCTACTAGAATGAAATTAAATAAGGAGATGTGACAAAAGAGGAGGATTCAAGGAAGATGATATTGTTTTCTAAAAGTGCAGCATCAAAGACACTTTGGTTTTTGACATCACTTGTGCTGCTCGTTATTTAATCATTCCCATCCTGAGTATTTATTTTCTAAAGGGAAAAATTGTTTTTCAGATTTCAAGTCCTATGTTTTTGATCTTTAATATATGCTTGTACTACTGAGTGATGTGGAAAAATAATAAACAGTAGAAAGCTTGAAGCACTCTCTAGAAATGTTGAGAGCAAAATTTGTAAAGTGCTCAAGCAGTACATAAAATGTCATGTCCCTTTCCCATTTTGTCATAGGATTAAGTTATCCAAGTCACAGAGGCAATTTCCTGGGTTTTCTATCATGAGGATCACACATGGGTGTAAAATAAGCACCTTGGCTGTGCCATAAAGTATATAGGTTTGTGAAATCACTTTGATTTTTTTGTGATAACAGGTGGGAAAATGCATTGTAAGCAACTAAAAAGGAAACAAATTGCCTATAACAACTAAAGAATTGATTTGAAATAGTTATTGATTTGATATTGCCTTTCACCTGCATGAGAGAAGCTGATTATTCTTTGAAGACTGAACCTGGTTTGTTTTGATGTGATAGATTTCCATTTAGCCAGGCTGGCTTTTCCAGGTCCCTTTTGTTTCACCCCCATCTGGCAGCCTCCTAGGAGGGCAGAGGTGCTCCAGGTAACTGAGCAGGGGCAGTAAGCATGCAAAAAGTGGAAGTGGGAATTGGTGAGGTCCCATGTGAAAGTTCATTGGCCTCCCAGAACTGTGTTCCAGGAACGACAAAAGCCATCCATCTTGTGGGTGCAGACCCTTTGGATTTGCTGACAGTAATAATTCCACCCCTAACTCTCCAGTAACACATTAGCATTAACAGTAATTTTTGCCTCTAGACAGGCTCTGCAGTACAGCATGACGGTTCCTACCCTGTAATTGTAGGATCCTCATTAATCAGAAAGAATATTATGACATTGTGAGCTCACAAGAAAGACAATTCATGACTGACATAATAAAGGCCTAAATTATGCTGCTTTGATGATTGGAGGTGCAAATTTTTTTTCTCTTGTGAAAATAGGATTTAGCAGCTGTATGAAAAAAAATCTGTATAATGAAAGTAGGGAGCATTGAGAGGCAAGCAACACCAGCTTTATCTAGATGAGACCTTTATTTCAAAAGGAAATTAAAATTTCAAAGCTGGTAGTGGTTTTTTTTATTGATAAACCAGAATTTAAATCAGGATCTTGTGGAAGAACTATGTGAGAAGCTTATTGCTGCAGCACTGTATTTAGTAGTTTGCTGCTGTTACCTTTTACAATTACTGAAATTTATATATTGTTTTGGCCAGCTTCCAAAATGTGTTTTGACATATATGAAATGATTAATACTGAAACACATCTCATAAATTTAATGCAATTATATATAGACCTATATTCATTAGGAGCCAAAGACAGTAAATTATAAATTAAGAAGAGCAAAAAAAGAAAAACTGTTAAATCCCAGATTCTTCTTCCACTGAAGGTATGTGGACAAATTCATTCAGTTCCTAGAGCCAACCTGAAGTCTCTTTGAAATAGCACTGCTTTCTGTGAAAGCAATCCAGTGGGAACCCAGCATCCCTTAAGGACAGAGAATGGAGACTGAAGGGGTGCTGAGGAGGTGGTGGGCCCCAGAGGGTGGGCCTTGTGTGGATGTTTGTGATGGGCTCAGTGTGCTCTGAGGTGCTGCGATTAACAGGGAAATTCATCAAAACTGGGGTTTTTCTTCAGGGATTCCTTCCTCCAGAACAGGCTGACTGCAATACTCATGATCCAAGTACATAATAACTTAAACAAGCATTTAAGATTCTGGGAGAGCCCCCAAAATCCCTCCTGAGCTGAGCTCCTCTCATGCACTGGGGTTAAATGACTTACTCCAGGCACTCATGTCTACCCATAGATATTTACATATGTTTTTAAGTATAGCCTGACTGCTCAGACAGATTTCTTCTGAGTGCCTTAAAAATTACTCCCTCTTTTCTGGAAAAAATGATTGTTGAGGAGAAGCAAGGGAAAAAAGTTCTTTCTGAGTATTACCCCATCTTTTCCCCAGATGAAATATTCTGCTTGCTGCCCCCTTGAATATTGTTTTTGTTTGCTTGAGATTGTGACATGTAGAACAGTCAGAACTAGCCTTTGAGCATAACTGATAAGGAAAATAGAAATTTTAGTTAAAAAAATATTTCCTGAGATATTTTTGGTGGTGGTCCATAAATTATTTAGAACAAGTGTGTATACAGTTTCTTTCAGGAACGACTCCAAGATAGTTCATTAAATTCTTGTTTTCTTCATGGCTCATCCCATGACTTAATGATCCTGCGCATACTCTGGCACTGCCTAGGATGCAATAAGAAAGGATAACTAAAATTTCAATTTTCTTTAAATTTAAGACTAGACTGGATTTCAGGGATGAATTCACAATGCCATTTTATCTTCCTATGGCCATAGAGGAGTGAGTAAGTAGGAGCAGCTTAGCAGTGCCAGAGCAAGTGAGATGAGTCCACTTTAGGAGCTGCTGGCTCTGCCCTGACTCTGCTTTTGAAGTCAATCTCCCAGCTGCCCACCTTGTTGTGCTGGGTTTGCTCTGGGGAGCAGCCCCAGAGACTGAACCTTCCCAGAAGCTTCATCCAGAAGTTGAGCTTCCTATACTCAGGGGCCAGAATGGTGTTAAATTGACCTAAACTTTCCCTAAAATTCATGCAGTGGGTGTGTCAGGTTTTCAGCATCAGAGATTTTGGACTGTAAATCGGTTCCTTTGGGGATGTGCTGCTTGTATCAAAGATACTATCTACAAAAACACTGCGTTGGATTTTGCTTTCCACTGAAATCCAGTGGCATGTAGCAGTACCTCAAATCCTGCTGGGTGTCTTTGTAAATACCATTAAGAAAATGTACTCAATATCTGATTATTTTTAATAAACAACTGTCATTTATTTATATCTCAAATTTTTGCAGTTGTATTTTTCTGCTTTCAGGACTGTACCATCTGGAGTGATCTTCAGTCTCAGCCGTTTCTTTAGCTCAAACTCTTTAGTTCGTTCTTGGGGAAGTGCTCCAGAAGTGCAGAGCACTTGGACTGTGGGACTTCTGTGCCTGTGTCAATGACCACATACAGATGGTATGAAAACACAGAGATCCAGCTGGTTCCCATGGCATTGAGACAAAATTATGTGGAGTGGAGAATTCCTTCTGAAAGACTAAAAAACAGGGGGATGTTATGGACGAACAAGGCCAGACTTCCTTCAGAGAAAAAGGCTCTTGTTCATTTAAAAAGAGCTACAGGAGATGGAAGGCCTGAGATAGGCTCAGACCCCCATGCAACAAGTCAAAAAAAAAAACCAAAACAGTGTGTCTAGCCCCCATACACGCTGAACTCTCCAGGAAGCAAGTTCCTCAATAGAACACCGAATGCAACTGAACTCCCGTTTTTATAACCTCCCCCCGCTTTGGGTCCAGGATTGATGGGTTTTGGATCCACACAGTGATTGGCTTGTTTCTGGTGTTCCTTTTGGTCTTTATTGTCGTTCATTCCTGACCAATCATTTCCTTGGGGCATCAAATGATTGGTTAGGTCTTTCGTCCAACCTCCTTCCGCGGCGCTGGTTTCGTTGCGCTGACTCTGTTTCTGGATGTTATTCTGCCCCTTTGGACCATGCCCCCGGTACATCCTGGACCCTTTAGAACTTGCAAAGAGCATTGACTAACCCCCTTAAAACAATAACTCCCCTTCCCAAAGTTACAATAATCAACTCAACCTTAACTCGATACAAACTGAATCTCACTTATAACAACTATGCTTCTATTAAAATATCAGACACTGTTTTTTTTGTTACATTGGGCCTATCCTGGAAATTCATGAATCAGACTCTTGTGAGAGTTAGGCACTGTTGATTTTTCCAGCTCTTCTTGGAGGGAACTGCCGTGTTTCATCACACTGACCCGGGGTCAAAGAAGAATAGGACAAAAAAATGTTCATATTCAGCTTCACCTTGAAGAATCTCGTGGCAAAGGCCTCATATTCAAAACTTTATCTAGAAAGGTGGATTTAATGAAGTACCATAGAAACAGTGACATCTATTTTGAAGTTATCTTTAAAATGTCATGACGTATTTTTATTAGTTTGAAAGATACTTAAAATGAAGCATGCATATATATTTAAAATATTTAAATCTCCAAAATGAAAAATTGTTTCTGTCATTGAAAATGACGAATTTTTCCTGTTGCCCAACTGTGCAGACTTGCATAGTGCCATTAAAATAGCCCAAATGAAAACTTAAAATGATGCAGTTGTGTTGGTTTGGTTTTTTTCTCTGTTAGTGGAAATTGGTCTTCTCTGATCTCTTCAAATATATTGTATGCTGCTTAATGACCAGTATTACAGATGTTAGAGAGAGATTCACCAAAATGCTAAAAATCATACAAAAAGTGTAAGATTTCAAGCAGGAATGATTCATATTGGTTGGGGGTGCCTGCAGCTGTAAATATGTCTGCTCTGCCTACTTGCACTTCCAAACACTGAAGTTCAAGCTATATTGATAAAACGTGGATTTTAATGATAATTTTGTTTTTAGGGATTGCATTTGTATGTGATCATGCTTTAGTAATAAGATTATTTCATTTTATTCATGTATTGTGATGCATAATATTAATTAATTAAATTATATTGTATACTAATAAGCATGTTAACAATAATCATATGCTTAAAATACTAGCTGCTACAACAAAAAAGAGAAATAAAAGTAACAATAAAAAAACACCAGAAAGACTGCTCAAGAGTTTTTTTCAGCAGCTGGACAAGTTCTTCTCTTCTAGGTCTTATCAGAAGTAAAGAGAAGTTAATGAAAACTTTTGCAGACTTACTGGTTGCAGGGAAGAAATTACTTCTATTATACGCTGAAGGATGAAATCCATTAAATCTCTTTTAACTCCTGACTTCTCAGCAGCTTGGATGGGTTGAAGATTTCAATCTGCATACACAGTGCAGGTACTGTTCTTGGTTTCATTAAATGTTTCTTCTTTTCAATAGACTCTGTCTACCTTGCCCAAAATTTAAAATTGGCTTTATAAAAACCACTGTCCTGATAGATATGCATCTGACAGGAAAGGGCATCATTTAACAATAATTTCCAATGATGTAAGTCTAGAAATATTAATGGATGTAATTACATGCCAATAGCCCTTATTAAAGCTTTAGTATATCAGTCTCCATAATTAGCCTCTCTGTATGAGGACAGCATCTGGCTCTTCAAATCTCTTTCCAAGAAAGGCACTGAGGTAGAAGTCCAGGTTTCTACAGACTGTTTTTTATGCTGTGCATACACTTTTTTGAAATTATAGTAGGACAAGTTTTTTCCTTGTTGTTTTTTAGATTTTTTTTTTGTTTGTATGGATCTCCTGATAATTTAGCTATGATATATTAGATACCCTAGCCTATTCTTACTTTTGTTTTTCTGTCCCAGTTCTCCCTTGTTCCCTGTCACAGTAGGCTTTGTGACACAGATCCCAATTACAGCTAATCCTATTAAAAGTTCCAGTTATTTGAAAACGTGTTCATTGGCAAAGACAAAAATATAGAGAGTCCTATCAGAACTCTGTGAAGTCCTTGCAGAGATTTTTTCTCATTGGTCTATCATTAAAAATGATATCTAATAGAAGAGCTTTTTGGATATTTCAACCAAAAGAGTGATAAATTTTTGGAAATAATTTTTTTTGAGCTCTATGAGGGCCAATATCTGGCAACAGCAACTGGACAGATGGGTCAAGCTTGACTGGCCTGTTCATCACACTAAAGCAATACAGAAATAGTCAAACCATTCTCCTTTCAGCACAAGAATGGGTTCCTATATTTTCACAACTCAGCAGATTTTTGAAGTTTCTTTGCAAATCCAGACTCCTCCGTGGTGTATTTTATCTTTACACAGCATTGCTAAGTGCAAGAAAATTATCAATTTTCTTGTCCTTGGCAGTGGCAGAACTGGCAGTGAATTTAGCACAAAACATTGTAATACAGATCTCGCTTGCAGAAACCTGCCTTAGAAGCACTGTGGGACAATCACTGCCTTTTAGCCACATAATTACTGCTCCAGAAGCTTCATCATCTTGTTAACAATTTCTATTGTCCTTCTATTGCAAATATATATTTTTTGACGTGAAAAATGTATTTTATGAAATTTAATAATGGAGATGGCACTTCATCATGCAATAAAAGGTTTGGTAATATCAGGTCTTGCTGAAATAGCTAATTGTGTTGCATTATGATATTACATTAACAGCACTTGGGAATTTAAATAAAGAACTCTTGTCCGTACAGCAGTGACTGTTATTCAGAATTAGTGTGGTGTCAGCTGGAATGCCTATTTAAATGGTTGAGCATAAATAATTTTATCATCTTTTCTTTGTTTCTCTCCCCCTTCTCAGATGTGACCTGGGTAGTGCCATGAAAAAATGGATTTGAGATTTGTCCTCCTGCTGCAGTTTGGAAAAGGAGTAAGACAGAAATGTTTTTTCCATATTTTCAGTTTAAGTTTTCCTTCCAGACTGTCAATCTGAAAGCACATCACATTTACTGATGTAGTCTTATCTAAAAGGTAAAATTAAAATCAAACTGCTCCCAAATTGTGTATCTTTCTTTCATTCCATATTCTAAGTGTAAAGTGTTGTAAATTAGAAATGTTTTGCATAAACCACCCCCTCCCCCCACTTTCCTCCTCAAGTTTTTTAAAATTTAAATCCATTTTGGGACAATGATATATAGAAAAAAAGTCTTAGATAATGACATCCAAGCTCAGTGATAGGGATAAAAATATAGTAATTTTGAAGTTCTGAAACTCATAAAATTGCCACATCTAGTTTATTCTGCATTCCCCAGAGCATTAAGCAGTTTAGCACAAATCTAATTTCCCACCAAACAGCTCAAGGCAGTTAGTGCTCAGTTTGGTTCCAAAGAATTAAACAGACTGTTATAAATCGTGATAGTCTGTGTAACTCTGTAGATAAACCCATTTTCCAATATAAGTGTATCAAGCAGGAAAAAATAAGAGGCTGCTCTTGTATGAGGGGTGATTACAATGGAAATAAAGATGAAATTAAAGGAAAATTTGCTTCAAGGTGAATTAATGACAACTAGTAGGAAAGGAAGAACTTGTGAGTAAAGGTTAAATCAAAAGAATTCACAGGTAAAGGATATTCAATGTCCTAACCATTGTGAGGTGTAAATCTTACCACAGAGTGCAGCAGACTATCCCTGTGAGTCTAAAATATTCATGTCACAGTGATGTGGAGTGAAATGGATTTTCTGGGCCCCCTAATCTGCCACTATGTAAAGTCAGGAAAGGGGCTGTGGTAGTTGTGACTTTACTGTATTAGTCTGGACAAAAGAAGATATGTGAGCTGAGAAACTCAGTTCTGCAGTTCTGCTACATATGCAGCAAAAAAAAGTATCAGGGAGTCTGGAATCTAACTCAAATCGTACAGGATGGATGGCCAGAGAGATAGGAATTTCAATTTTCTAAATTCAAAGAGAAAATGAGCCTGGGAGACCCGTGTGGCAATAACATGAAAATTGAAATGGAAGTTTTGGTTCCAAACTGCATCCCCTGTACCCTTTAGGAGAGGAAAAAATAGTGAGAGTAACACACTAGTATATGATAAGAAGCTACTGTATGTATTATATAGGTCACAGGTAAATTTAGCCAGCTTCACACATACTTCCAAATCTACATTTCAGAAGGAAAAGTTAAAAAAAATAATCAGAAACTTGAAAACTAAAATCAACACTGCAACTTCAAAATGCCTTTGGGAAGTTGAGGAGAGTTTCATCACTGACTTATTAAAACCAGGCTTTTAGCTTTACTGTTTATAATTAAAGCACTCTTTCACATTTCTGAGCTCTCTGTCTGAGAAGAATAAGCAGAGGGATTTTGGCTGTGGGACCCAGGGACCTCCAAAAGTCAAATGCCTGCTGACTGCCAGGATGCCCTTTTAAAAGGTTACCTGTGGGAGAGCTTTCTTCCCCCTGTCCCTCTCTTAGGGATGCCTCTGGTAAGCTCTGCTGGAGAAAGCTGTTTCATGACATTGTGCAACACACCTGTTTCCTCCCAATGACAGCCTGATATTTCTAGATTTGCTGAAGGTGTATCTTGTTTTTCCCAAAGGAAATATGTGCTTCACAGCAATAGGATACAGATTAAGAGTATCCTGCCTGTTTGAGGGAGGAGGAGCCATCCTAATCTCAAAAGATTTGGAGATGGCCTTAAAGAGTAATTGTACATATCTCCATTTTTATTTGTATTACACCAATCCCTTGATATCAGAGCTGTACTGTGCGAGCCATGGGAGGAGTTCATCTTTCTCTGGAGCTCCTAACTCAGGAAGGATGGATGAAAAGGGAGAGTGTCCCTGGGGTGGCATTACATGCCAGTGATGGAGCTGACAACTGAACCTTGTGCTGCAAAGTTCCAGGTTTAGTTCCTGACTTCACTGCTGTGCCTGCAGTGAAATTCTCCATGCTGCTTTTAGCCCTTGCAGGTTTAAGCTAGTTTTCAGCAGGTCCTGTGTTTTCTGGTACATGGGTAAAATTCCCTGCAGTGCTGAAAGGCATCTTGGGACAGAGAGACCATCAAAATCCCAGTGTTTGAATGTAAAAGTAGGTCAAATGTACATTGGATGCTTTGCAAAAGGGGGAGTTTTGCAAATCCTGTGGGTCATGCTGTGTTCTTAGGATGCGTTCTTGTTCTCGAATTGTTTTTCCCCCTGAGTTGTTTCCTTTTCTGTGCTGTTCTTCCTTAGTTAACCTGAGGTGTCTAATGCAACTTCATGGAATTTATTAATCTGACAGGCAGGGAATGCAGTGTTTGGATTTTTACTGTACATTTCATGTTTCTAATGAATTCAGTGCATTTCAGCTTAATGGAGCTGAATTACTAATATTAACCACAGTAAGCAGCACTGCTAGCACCTTTCATTGCTGCTGCTGCTCCAGTGTCAAATTCCCTTCCAGGACAGATGGCAATGGTGCATAGACTTCTACACCATACAGAGCAGCCAGATAGATAGCTCTTTTTCGGGTAGGTAAAATGGAAGAATGCTGAAATTAGGCCTTTAGACCTTATTTCAATTTGTACAGGAGTTTTCAATGGCAGTGTTCTAGATTTCGCATCAGAAATGACCTGTCACAGAGAAGAGTGTAAGAAGAAGTCAAGATTTTGATGGACACAGATGGAACCAAGCTAAGAATTAGTTTCCTGTTCCTTAATGTTTTGTTTATTTTAATTCACTTTTTTCTAGAAGATTTTCTCACAAAAGAATACTTCCTAGAAGGAAACCTCCATGTTTTACTGGGATATAT